TTAGAACGTCGCGCGAGACGCGTGCCGAAGCAATTCGCTGTCACGGCCGAGGCTCGTCGAGAAGACGCATGACAAGCGGAACACCGCGAGAGCGTTAGAATTCGGGCAGATTGCGCTGATATATCTTTTGCGGGTAATTTCTAGTTTCTTCTCGTCCGTGGAGGAGTATCGAAACGGGAGATTAATAGTTCTCGCGCACATAAAACTTCTGCCGCCGAGAGAAAGAGAGAACCAAGGGGGACCAAGGGGAACCAATCGATTCTCACGGAATAAAGCCGAGGGCCTTCGCAGACCAATAAAGTTCTCGGAGGAAGAAGGTATCCCCGATACTCGATCTCGATCCCGTTTTAATTTTCAATTTCCGAACAACCGGCGACCAACAGCCCGCCCCTGAACAGCCCGACTCCCATGGGGACTATTCGCGCCGACAATTATTTACAGGAGTGGAAACAGATTACCGTGATCGCTCGATTAAATCTCCTGGGCGAGCCGATTTTTTTGGGGGGCGGGACGTCCCTCGTCTCCTCGGCGAGGAGACGAGGATATTTCATTGGCTCGTCGTCGAAGCCGACCTGCGACACGGCGGTGTTTTTCTCGGCGCCGGACTCGTGAAAATTCACGAGTTTCGAACGCGTCATAGAAAGGACGACGCGGCGACATTTCCATTACAAAGAGCGCCGGTTTCGGTGGATCAAGTCGCGGCTACGCTACTCGAATATGTATGGCGGGACACTTGGACGAAAGGGGCCACCTGACCTCGAACTCGAGAAGCTTCGTTCGAAGGCATATTCATCAGAAAGCCCCGGCGTCTTCTGCTTCCTGCCTTTCGGGTACTTTGTAGCTGCTGGATCAACTCCTCGAGGGCTACTTAAGATCAAGAGACTACGGAATATGGCTGGTTGCTCGCCGAGGCTCGGCCAGAACCTTAGAAAGGAGGACTCGGATTATTGTGGACCGTGCAGCATTCACGGCGAAACGGCGAATTATTTTTCGTCCTATCTCTGCGAGCCGAAGTCGAACGTTTCGCGAACGCGAACATCGTCGCGATGAGCGCGACTGCGTACGGTGTAGCGATACTGCGTTGGTAATTATCGAAACGATCTTGAAAGAAGAAGTATCGCCCTTTAGAACGAGCTACGGTCCATTGCGACACGATCGTTTGCAATGAAGTTGCAGACCTCCGAATTTCGTCGACTTCTGCTGAATTTTTGAAATACGAAATTCAACCTCTGCCAACACACTTCCCATTCAAGTGGCCATACAATGGCACCAACGCATCGTAGGACAACGTTTTTGAGCTCGTTGGAAAGGGAAAAGTTTGTGCTTAAATATAATCGTAGTTGCGCTCGAAAAAAGAATTGTTTAAGCTTCCCACAGGTTCGCGAAGTTAAGTTTTTGTAGAAGTGCCACTTCGTTCCAAAAGTGCGGTTACAAATAGTACAGCGAGTCTACGTCAACAAAATTGAAGCGTTTAAAAAGTGCAGACTTTACTCTTTGAAGTGAGCTTGCGGTCATTGCGGTACGATCATTTTCAACGAAGTTACAGGCCTTCGAATTTCATCGTTTTATTGCTGAATTTTTAAGGGCCCCAAAAGCCAGAGATTCAACTGCTGTCGGCACACTGTCAGTTCAAACTGCTATAGATTGGCGGCAAAAAATTCTAGGTAAACATTTTTGGTCTCGTTGGAAAGAGAAAGCTTCATGCTGTAACGTTACTTTAGTCTCGTTAAGTGAAAAAATTTTCTGCGACTTTCACAGGTCAACAAAGTTGAATTTTTGAAAAACATTGAAGCTTGTTACAAAACACGATTGCGGAGATTTCAGTGCTGCTACAACAAAATAACTAACTCCAGCTTAAAGTGTAATTCATGCTCTTTAAAGCTAGTCGAGAACCGTAGCGATACGATAATTTTCAACAAAGTTACAGCTATTTTAATCGAACCCTATTCCGTCTGCTTCTAAGAAACGAATATTAATTCTTTCACGTTCTTCTAAGATCTACCCAGCAAGTCGAAAAAAATCGAATAAAAGCAGCTGATTTATATTAGTTTACAGTAAAAGTAACAAGAAGACATTCACTCTGATTTTTAACGAATATTTTTCTAATGTATATACTGCAAGCAACACATACATTGAATAAATAACTCAAAAATGTGTCTTTACGATCAGAATAACCGTAAATTAAAGAATTAGTGACCTGTCATTTTGACGAGTTTCTAAAACCTGCATCAAGGAAACCAAAGGGTAGAAGAAACGCGGAGTTCGTCCTTCGGAATAAGCTCGGAACCACCGCGATACGACGATCTCCAATATCGTTACAGTGGAAGATACAGTTGAAAAATACAGGAATCCTCCTTTATTCGCATGATACTAGAAAATCCCAGCTAGAGGATGCGGACGAGGCAAAGGGAAAGGCCATTGATTCTGAGTTACGTTTTCCAGAGGGCAGCCCACATTACTTATACCACTTCCCCCCCCCCCCCCCCCCCCCCCCCCCCCCCCT